CTTTGGCCAAGAACACCGATGCTTTTGACATCGGTTCTTCCGACACTGTTATCATTGGTATGTTAAATCGAGATGCCTTCGACCAGTATTAATGCCGTACTAACTTATTGCACAGAGCACGCCACTGTCTACAACCAAGATGATTGCGTTGCTGTCAACTCTGGAAGCGTATGTCCACAATCCACCATGCTCCTCATTCTCCCCAACCCCCACTAACATGGATATTCAGCACATTACCTTCAAGAATGGGTACTGCTCGGGTGGCCACGGTCTTTCCATCGGATCCGTAGGAGGACGCTCTAACAACACCGTCGATAATGTCTCTTTCCTCGACTCCACTGTCACCAAGTCCGTCCAAGCTATCCGTATTAAGACTATCGCCGGTGACACCGGTGTCGTCAGCAACGTCAATTACGATGGCATCACCATGAGCAGCATCTCCAAATACGGTATCCTCATCGAGCAAAACTACAATGGTGGTGATCTTCACGGAGATCCTACCAGCGGTATCCCCATTAGCGGCTTGACCATCAAGAACATTGTTGGTACCGGCGCTGTCGCCTCTTCCGGATACGATGTCGTTGTTGTCTGCGGTAGTACCTCTTGCAAGTCCTGGACTTGGTCTTCTGTTGCCGTTACTGGTGGTAAGAAGTACGCTTCTTGCCAGAACGTCCCAACTGTTGTTGGTGCTTGCTCTTAAGCGATCAATAAGAAGGATTCTTGACCTTTTTAGCCGAAGATCATTTTAAGCTAGATGGAAAGTTGAAAGATGGAGGACCCTTTTTAGATTCTCTGATCTGAGTTGTACATATTATATTCTCTTCGCTATATATATTTGGAATTTTATTTCTTCAACTATATTGTCATTTATAAGTGTCTTGAATCAGTAACAGCTGTGCTTTGCAAGTTTTGATCATGACCTTTGTGGTAGACACGAATGCAAAAACCAGTGCTCAGACCCCAGTGCCAAAGTGTTCTCCTACCTTTGAATATCCTATGATGGTGAGCTCATCAAGCAGATGTATAACCTGAATGTTCGTAGTGTGGTCTTTGAAAGTAGCGTTGCGTACACACCCTACAATATTGTAAGTCTCAATTATTTTGGTAATTGTAAGTTTATACACTGTGTGTAGTAATATCCCACATTCCAAGACATCCAGCATCGTCACCAGGAGCAAGATAGGGCTTTGAAGCACCGAGTCTCATTACACGTAATTATGGCTCTTCATCGACAAAATTGAGGATATATACAAGACTCTTAGAGACTGAGAAATGATCACATGATTGTTCTCGCCTGGCCGGATCTTCCATCTGTTTGTTGCATGTTAGTCGAGGTTGATGATGCTCCATCAGGTGTGGCTTCTTTGGCACAAATTAAATGGCGGTGAATCGACGACACGCGTCTAAGCTCCCCGGCGCAGCACAGTCACGTGTTTGGGCGTAAGTAGAGTTCATGAGCCCGTGCGGCCCTAGAAATCTCACGATCCTCCTCCTAGCATTTATTGTTACTTCTGAATTGAATCTAAACCGAGCTTTAAAGTTTTTACCTTTATCTCTATTTTCGTAGGTATCATATACCCCTTGTTAGTTTTCTTTGTCTTCCCTGCTTTCAAGCTTCTCTATTGCAAAGTATAATCTGCTAGAACTCGTTCTTATCTGGGTGGATGGCAATGGGAGCAGAGAGCGCGGGTAGGGGGTTCATCTCAATACGCTTCTTTATCTTTTATTTCCTCTATTACAATCTGTCTAATATCTCTTTCAAAGTCTCGAACATTACCTAGATCAAATTACTGTCTTTGTATTCAAAGAGATTAAGAAAGGAAAAGAACTCAAACTCCCCTCCATCTAGGTATGTACTACTTTGGCAAAAAAGGTTAAAAGGGAAAAAATGAATTATTTAAGTTATATTTGGGACTAAACTCCTGACTCTTCGTCAATCAAGTCCAAAATGCTATTTCTTCAATCCTCCTGCGACTCCAATTCTCTCTACCTCCTTATGCTCCACACTTCCCGCCGTGCAACCTGCTAAAACTCTTTCCCACTCCCCTACATCTTTAATTTTCACACATTCCTCTGCAGCCTTTACTCTCATCCCGCACTTTTCCCAAAGTTCCACAATCTCCTTTCCTTTAACTTCACCTTGCGCTCTTATCTTCTCCACAAAACTCCCTGCCAATTTTTGATTTCCAGCATTCAGGATAAGTGTATAGAATGGCAACCAGCCGATTGGAGATTTGCGATTTTTAGATAATTCTTCAAGAGCAGACCAATCGCGTTTTGAGACAAGAGCACGGAGACGTATCCATGTGGATGTTTTTTCCGGCATTTTAAATTCTGTGGTGAGCTTTTTGGCACGAGAAGTGTAGCCTAGTTTTATCAATTTGAAGAGTGTTTCGTTTAGGGAGAGACCTGTAAATGATTCTGTGAGGTCGCGGTCAAGAGATTCTTGCATTCTCAAAAGTAGAGAAGCTTCGTGGAGAGCTTTGAGCTCGAAAGATGTTTCTTTGGAGTCTGAGAGGAGTTTTGCAGCAAGTGCGAGTTTGTCGGATGCAGTGCGTGAGTCGGGTTGTTGGAGAGCTTCGCGGATAAAGACGTTAGCACCATCGACACGACGATCGTCTTGGTAGTAGAGATCTTTCAGAAGAGAGGAATCTTCTATTCGTGCTGAGGATTCGACGAGGGAGGTAGCGATGGGTCGAGTGTTTATTACGCGGAAGAAGGAGGCAAGAGGAAGTGACTTTTTGAGATGTAAGAGGACGTAGATTATTAGATCTGAGTCTCCGGATTCGATAGCTTTATCAAGAGCGATTTCATCTTCTTCCATGGAGAGAAGAAGGGGTACTTGTTTTCCGGCGCGAGGTTCGTGGTTTAGGAGGGCGGTGGCTAGACGGCCGCGCCCTTCGTCGTAGGCTGCTCGGGCAATTTCTTCAAATGAGATGCCTCGTTTGCCGGAAAGTTTCTCGACAATCACGCGACAGATTGTGTCTTCATCTTCGGATCCTATACGGACTTTTTGGGAAGCCCAGTGCACGTAGATTCTGTCGGTTGGAAGTCGTAGATAATCAGAGATCTTGAGTGCTAAGAGGTATTCTCGACGGTTGATGAGACGTCTAACAAGTTTTTCGGGAGTTAGGCGTAGGAATTGTTCGTATGATAGAGGTATGCCAATTTCGTAATATCGGACAGCGTTCAACACTCGGAGTGTTTCGGTCATATCTACAAAATCATCACTGTTGTAAATATCAAGCACAGATTTACCAAATGAAGCAGCCTTGAGAAGTTGTTTCTGCCAATGGATGTTGAATTCATGACCAGCTGCTTTGACCTAAATACGGTCAGCTATGAAACCGAAATTCTGTGTAAAATTACTTACACAGGTATCAACTGCCTCAACTAAGTGAGGTCTAATCAACTGTATGTTGTCATCTGCTTTTGGAGACTGCTGCTCCAACTGCTCGACTGCATCCAATAATATCGAAGCTGGCGATTCTGTGCCGAACCGAAAGGTTTCGTCGGTTACTTCCGGTACTTTTTGCAAAAAATCACAAACATCATTGGTTATCAAACGAACGCCATCATGATCTGTTCAGTGTTTAGCTGGAATCCTAACTAACTCCAGGGAATTACAAACCAGCAATTACATGAACTCGACCATCATAATAAAATTTTGCTGCAGCATTTTTAGGGCCAATGAGATGTACTTCATCCTCCCAAGCAATAACTACCGCATCATTACCACACCATTGGACGTCTTTGGGAGGAGTTTTCGATCTGGAGTTGTATTCACTCAATCTGCTTTGGAAATCGCTCGTGATAACATATGCATTTCCTGTTTCTGTGTAAAGGGCGACAAATTTTCCATTTGGCGATACACTGATATGAGTAAAGGGTCCGATGTCTAGAAAACGATCTTCGGATTCAGCAGCGTCTGCGACGTGTATGGTTTGATCAATGCTCAGAAGAACTTCAACTGATCTGGATAATGTATATGTCGGTGGTATCAGTGTCCACGAATGAACATCGCCTTCAGGGGGCGTTGCTAGTAATTTTGGACGTGGTTCTTCATATCTAGATACCGAGATTAGGTGATTATTTGAGAGCAAGGCCACAAACCCGGTGCCGTAGAATCTATTCCGTTGGTGAGCTCGCAGTCAATCTAAATTATGTCAAGCACAAACCTGCAAGCTATCACACCAAGTTCCTCGGCACCATTTCCAAGAGAAAATTGGTTAAAATCTCCTTGTAAGTCATAGTAACATCGTACTGTGCCATCAGCGGTGACGACAATAAGCTTTTCGTCTTCGGTCCAGCCGAGACCTTTAATAGAACCTTGATCCCAGTTTATTCTTCTGATCAGCTTTCCAGCACAACTGTATATATCGATACTGGATTTAGATGCTTGTGATCCTCGAAATGTTTGGAGCTTTGTTTCGTCTCGGTATAGAGCTGAATGAAGTATCATGTAAGCAAATGAAAACATCAAAGTATTGAGCCCACATGCGTTCTTAAGTCCGTACGCTCGCAAATACGGCACTTTCATGTGTTCAGTGGGAGCACTAGCTCTAGAGACTCTGATGGGTGCAAGCCACTCAGCAGATGAGGTCTCGCAATCTTCTAAATTGCCCCTTGATGTGATTGACTGCAGCACCCGCCGCCTCCCAGATTCTTAGAGGTTTTAGAAAGAGTAAACAGTAGAGTGAATCTAGCAAAAATAATCTATTTCCGATATTGAAAAGGAACAACGCAACGCACCAATTGCTCCTCCATATGAGCATCCCGTGACCACGTAGTTTTCAAGCTCTAGGTCCTGGTCGAATACGGCTGTATATAACTGTATCTTTCGATAGAACTTATCCCCCACCTTCTCCCATTCTGCAATTGGACTTGTCATTTCAATATTGCTTAACTGTTCATTATAGTTTGGGATGGTTATTGTTGTTGCTTCGAGTTGCTTGTTCAATCGTGAAGAGCTCCTAGTTTAAGATGTGGTCAAAGCTTGACGCTAGTGATCATCAACATTCAATGTTATGCGATCGACTTCAGCATAGATCCGAATTATGGCATCCGATTAGTGAAGCATCCAATTTGTCTCTATAAACATTCCACCTAAGAAATGGGATTTGGGTGAAACCATTCTATTCATCGATTGATGGCAGACGAGGAGTTGATCAATAAAATCCACGAGCTCAGCGACTTGGAGCTCGCCGCACTGATATGTTTAGTCGCAGAAGAGCACTGTATCATTGATACAGATCCCGACGCTCTAGGCGATCTCGTACAAGAGTTACAGCTGGTGAATATACCTCCCTTTCAATATACTCGCAAGCTGCTAATGCTTAGTAGGTCGCATCGAAAGTCTTCGGCTTAACCTATGCTGTTATCGATTGCAATAGCCACACCACTCTCGATGATTTTGCACATGCAATTCTTTCCGTTGATGCGGCTCCTACTCGAACCAATTCTCCTGCGATAAGTCGTCGCGACTCGTACTTCCTACAAACACCCGCTTTCCAATCAATCAATAGACCGCCTGTACCGGAAACGACCGATAATAAAAGGATAGCAAATGTGATCATTGCTAGGAATCTTGATGAAGCGCCGCAGCAGATACAGATTCAAGCGTTAGAGCTAATGCGAACGAAACGGTTGTTCACAAGGACATCCATACAAAATGCGCCAAAACGTTTCTTGTTTGTTGCTGCTATAGCAGGCGGAGAGGGCCCAAGGTTGACAAAACATCTTAATGATTACATGTTCATTTCTCATGTACACGACCCTGAGGATGGGTTCCCGAACCTAGAAGATATGTTTACAGACGATACGAGTTCCACATTATCAGTTGTGAAAAGGAGTCCAACAATACAGACGGAAGAAAGTTTATGGGCGAGAATATCTCCGATGGTGAGTGGCCAAACGCATGTGGTGGAGTTATTTTTACTAATATGGATATAGGATATCGAAAATTTAGCCCAGCAAAGCAAAAATACTACAGTCAGTGTTGAGGTCAAGCAATATCAACAAAATATTGCTTCATTCCTTAGAATACATCGCGCGGTAGAGACGGGTATATCTGCAGTTGCTACAAAGCATTTTGATAAGCTTGTTAGGTGAGAGTGGCCTGATATGTACACGGAAATTTGTTCTGATACCGATTAGATGCCTCGCGCCTTTGCACGGCCTTCCATATGCTACCCCATCTCTTATTGCTCTTGCCGCCAGAAAGATATACCTTCATCGCATTGAGATCGTAAGTCCAGAAAGAGAACGTAGTATGCAGTGGGGAAGTGACTTAGATGCCATCAGAGAAATGTTGGATGGTATAGGACCAGAGGAAGTGATTGAAGATGTGTTGGGTAGTGCAGGGGCCGAGGCTCCCTTGTAGAGTAAATCAACTAATTGAATATCAGAAGATTAATATCAACGGAGTGTTAGTAGCACCTGTCAGTCATGATCATAAATGTGTAGTAGTAGTGTGACATGGCATATCAGCAAATGGCCAATGTTGGTCCTGTGATTACAGAATTTTGAGAGTTTGTATCAGTCCCCAGCCCAGTTGATATTTGAATGGTATTATGTAATGAATTGAATCGTCTCGCAGACTTTGCAACAGTAACATCTACTCGCCACTTTGTTCATACGACTAATAAACTTCACTTACCTACATCACACTCGTCTCACCGTCTCCGCTTAATCATACACACCGAAAGGCATTTAAAATGGAATTTTGAATTCACCCAAAGACAATCATGCCGAATACCAGTCGCAAAGTGAGTACATTTCTTAGGAAGTTATATGACTAATAATTCTATGGCCGCACTTCCAAGGAACAGATCAAGTACAAACAGAAGTTACCTATCCAAGCGTTCGTTGTCGAGGGCACTGAACGAGAGTCAAGAATAATAGAAAACCCAATCATTGGAAATACTTTGTCGAAGGCTTTCACATAACTCAAATCAATATCAACGTGTTCAGTTTCGGCTTTGGATACCCCGCACCCCTCATTCGTACCCCTATTCTTACCGCCTGGGCATATTTTGCCAGGTTTGAATTGATTCTTCATATATCTTTCAGTTTCCTATTCTTTTGGCAAGACTCAACTCTTCTTCTTCTTTCCTCGTCACAAAGCTTGCATACAACAAAAGTGTTGAATTGTTATTCGTCCCATTCTCGTTACTGCGATATCATGGCAAGTGCCGATTTGCCTTTTCCTGAATTCGTGGTTGATGCGACATCTGCTGTTGCCCGCTTAATCGTGGGAATTCCATCGGAGTATGTCTCCACGGAATCTTCTCCCATATCTTCAAACACACTCGGAAAATTATGCAGCCTAGCTTTGACGAAATTTCACTGCTTTCCCAGGCTACCTCTCGAGTTACGTCGCAAGATCTGGGATATCTATTTTGGTCCGCAGCTTGGCCGGATTATCGAGATCGAATGGGATCCGACTCATCCCGTTGACAAGCATCATGGATACAGAGCAACAAAGGTATCTTCTCAAGCCCCTATAGGCTATGAGATCTTATTTGTCGAGATACTCGGGATGAAATTTTGAGAAAATGTCAGCTTCGGCATTTCGATAATCGTCCTGAAGGGCATGAACCACCATCTCGACTTACATATTTTGATCCTTCTATCGATATCGTCTACTTCGGTTACAACACTTGTTTTGGTACAATGTGCCTCTTTGTGGACAATTTGGTTAGGGCGGGAAAACAACTTTCGCGTGTTGCGACTCGTGGCCTCGTTGATAGAAATTACTCTTGTTTAAAGGATCGCAGATCGGTCTTGGACGTTTGTTGTTCTTATGTGACAGAGAGTGCCCTCACAACCCTTGTCCAGTTCCCAGCAAACTCCCTCCGTGCAGAAGATAATTACAATCGACAGCTAGATTTTGTTTGAATGTGCTTCATGGTTTCCACACGGACAAGTTTCCAAACGTCTATAATGGATGGCCTGGCTTGCGGGAGATTATTATTTGCGCTCAGTATTTTCCGCCGGTAGCTTATCTAATGATTATCGTTCTACATCACAACAACCTACTTTCTAGTGACTGAAATCATTCTCAATACTTGAGGTAGCACTTTCTATTATGGTAGATATCTACTGAGTGATATATTTCTTAGAACCATTTGCTTGAAAATAAAGAGCTTTTCATGTCCGAAGTATGAGTCTCCATTCATCACATGAGAGTCATGTGATTGGCCTAATGTACGGTACAGTCACGTTGATTGGACGCCGTTAACACCCGGGGTGCTAACCGAGATATGGTATCTTCCAACAATACCTAGGTAGTTTCTTGGTCTACTTCGATGTATCGTGTCAACCATTGTTTACATTCATATTTATACAACATCAAACATTCGAAAAATTTCCAGCAAGAAAAGTAAATATGGCATCATCCGCTACCGAAATTGAGCCATTACTGGCCAGTTCGATGAGAGCTTTGCGGAATCAAACCACCCTTCAAGATCTCATTGCAGCTTATCCATCTTTGAAGGAAAAGTCGCTTTCATCTCCTTCGAGTTTGACAGAGTTGGAACGTCGCGTGTTCCTTGATCTCCCAGATCCGGAAATTGAAAGTGCCAATATAAGTGCAGCAACAAATATTTCACGGGCTGAATTGATAGAGAAAGCAGTTACCAATCGCGGTAGCCTCACAGATGCAGAGGTCTTGGTTTTGAAAGATCGATTCTGGGCATCACCCACCCAAGAGGAGAACTCGAGGATAACTGATGGGTTCATGGATTTAAGTGAAGAAGCGGGCGACGATTTTTTTGATGCCAAAGCTCCAGCTTATCTTGAGAACGAGGAAGAAGCTTTCAACATTGGTATTCATGAGTTCTGGGGCCGCGAGAAAGCTGTGCGGAATTATCAATTAAATGATGTACTCAATGCAGCCTTGCCATACGCGCCGGAATGGATAAAGCAGCTCTACAAGGAGGAAAAACAGCAATGGGGTTTTATATGTTTTTATGATGCTGCTGCTCAAACCATCGATGCAGAACGCCTTGAGGAATTCCAATTTGCCTTAGGTAGCTTTTTCGAACATGCACTTCGGTTCAATGGCTCAAAAGATATCATCAACGCCAAGTGGAAATATATGACGTTTAATGCGCCAGCCACTGCCTTTGCGCATACTGCAACTTCCATGCAAACTGAAGACCACAGTGGTGGGATTACCTTTCAGGATGTCGGTTCCCAGTTCCGAAATGTAATTTAGGGAAATTTTAGAAGACCCAGAAAAATACCAAAGAAGGGAAGATATAATATCGACCACTGAATACACAGGTGATCTTGAAGATGGAATTGCCGGTTCCGGGTTTCTCACAAATACATTTCTTGTATTTGATCCAGTCTGCATCGACTTAGTGGTGGAATCGGGATATTTCTATGATAACATGCGTGTCTTAGCATTCGAGGCTGAGTTTCCAGTGCCAGGAAGAACATACGTGGAAGGATATCAAGGTTACACATGAGTGAGACTAGATCAGTTGGTGTACTACTTCTACGAGCTCAGGATGAAAAACGAGCCTGGCATGGATAAGATATGGGAGGCGGCGCAAAAGAGTCAAAACAGTGCATTTGTTGTCATGGACCCCGAGGAGGCTTTGAATTGGTCGCGTTCTAACCATCAAACGGCATTCACCTCCGATAGTATACTCGGAAAAAGATGTTATATCATAAGAGAAGCTCAACAGAGTTGAAAAAAAACTCGGCTGAAAGCGGAGCTTTCGAGACCGGTAGAGGAAATGAAGCCTAGGCACTACGAAGTGCGATTCACCAAATATTTGTTTATTAGGAGGGCTGCAATCTTGCACTAGACAACTATTGATTATTGTGTCGGGAACCCGATGATAGAAATTTTCCACCAACTCATTTATATCCACCACCCCCAAAATCGGGTATACGGAAAATTGATGGGATGACATGGGGTTTGCAAATCTATATCTCAGAACACAATTTCTTTGCTTCCGGTCCTCGGAGCAAACTTGGTATTAAGTTTACGGAGGTCAATTCGAATTTGGACGTGGTAATAAGCATTTCCAAGGCTCCGGCCAGGGGCCCTAGCCTTGAAAATTCACTAAAGCGGTCTTCCCGTTATCCACTATTGCATCTATCAGATAGGTATCATTTAGGCACCGTTGAGCTTAAAGAAAGATAAATCATATATTTTCACGATACTGGCAGCTTTTGGCGGGAAACGGAGATGAATTCCATGGGTTTTGCTAGTGCTCAGCACCAACTGTTGGTGATTAATATGATCACATACCAGGGCCTGTTCGCATGTGACCAAACGTCCATGGAGGGGCAATTTTTCCAAAATATTTTTTCTTCAATCTAATCTACATTACCACCAACACGGAAATCAATCAACAACTCCTATCAAATAAGCAGTTGGTTGACCCCTCTCTCTTTAGGTTACTTAACTTGTTGATTTTGGTCCCGCAGCAAAGAACCTTCTGCTTTTGATATCACCTGAATCTGAAAGTGCAGCTAGATCCGCCGCTGCTAACATAAATGTCCTCTAATTTGAATTGGAAGTAACCTCAATAATATCGTGACTAGCAAGACAGATACAATACAAATGGGACGACCGGGTTGATAAGAACTGTCGGTGATATCGAAATCAATTGGGTATTAGGAGCTGGTGTCGAAAAGACGTATCCTCTCGAATCCAAAATTGTGATGCTAGTGGCCACATTTGACAAGCGCCTATGTTGTTGTGGCCTTTCCTAAACACTATATTATCCTGAAAGCATCGTTGTTAAGTATTGCGACTCACGAGTGCGTGCAAAAGTCTGCATACCAGGGACTGATAGCCCTGACAGCATACCATTTCCAATAGTTCATTTTGCTAGGGTGAAGAACTTCCTTGCATGTTGCATTTGCAATTCTCCAATATATCTCATTTCTCAACACCTCTAATATTCATCAGCTGTGGGTTTATGACTATGTTTACATGCTCTTTGCTCAATATAGGCTGAGTGGTTGAATTAGATCTTGAAACATGCGGTTAGTCACCACACACAAAAACATTAGCATATCATAGTATATCACTTGAATCTATGTGTACACCTTAGGACTAGTCGTGAAGAAACTCAGAACCAAGCATCTCCTATTCCATGAGACGAGGAAATCATAAGCCAATTGGATCAGATTTGTGAAATTTGGGTGCGGGTGACTAGGTAGGCAGAAGCGTCGCTGCAAATGAGACCATGCTATCTCAGGACTCACATCAAGGTGATACCAACATAAGCCCAACATAATTAATTCAATGCACGAACCCATCCAAGATGCTATGATCCATGAATTTGGCTTCATCCTATCACTTATACACCGGAGTGGAGGTACTTGATGATTTGTTACTAGCAATCACAGCTTTCGATCTGGAGAAATATATAACCAACCATGATTTCTTCGTGCTTTTCCCACAAGCATACTTCATCCATAATTATTCGAGCAATTGCTGGCGTACGCCGGGTCGAGCAAAAAATTCTTTACAACCAAATATTCGGCACTCTTTATTCATAATGAGATGGCTACATATCGCCAGCGTGTTGCTTGCCCCATACCAAGCGCGAGCAGCTGCAGTATTTTCCCACTTTATGGTATATGTTACAACAATGCTGCAGCCTTCCGGTGACGAGACTGACTATATGTTAGGTCATTGCTAACGCAAACCTGGCTAAGATCAATGCACTCGCTGCCCAAGTTGAGGCAACAGTGGTCTTTAATGAAGCTCCATTCAACACCTGAAACCAGGACTAGAAAAGGTCTCTGAGTATCTTCCGGTTATCGTACGAAGGTGTGTATCTTGAAGGCAATTGTAACGCAAAAGTTCAGACGTCGAACTAAGGAAAGGAAAGCGAACTACTTTCTATGAGAGAGCTATTTTGGTGTGTGGTCTATACATCTATGGACCCATAGCTTCAAAATTAGTGATTGAACAAACTTTCATCATTCTGATAGACCACTGTGATGATGTGATTATAATTTGTGCCAGAATAGTATCAAGTGAGAAATTGAGTGTCAAGTTTCGAGAACAACACATGTGCAAGGGAAACACCTTTTAAGGCCTTACTTAGAACAACGCTTCAAGACGAAACAAGGGACCATGTATCCATCTAGTGACACCTGCATCTTTTTGAAAGATACGACGGAATCTTCCAGGGGCGCCACGTGATTAGATGAGTGCAGCATCTAGAAGCCAATGCTCAAAAAAATCGATCGATTGCTTGAGCCTGTATGTGGGAGGGAAGAAATATAATAAACCCAAAATTGTGGCTTTGCATGGTGCTGCACAGCCTTCACAGCCCTGTGCTTCACGATCAATCTGACTCTATGTGTCTAGGAGACAACCTTAGGGAAGATTGAACAAGTGGAAAATGCCACCAAGCCACCATATTTCATTCGCCACTTTCCCCTTAAGCACTCAACTCCACTAACCCATAATATCCCCTCAACCGCGCCATCTCCAACACTCTTCAAAGAACTCATCATTTTCGTCCACTTTAACTATAGATGCCTGTGACCCAGTACTAATCTTCCATGCACGATATGCGATTTTCACATACCGTAGTGAAGGACATAGCGTGGAAATTAGCTTTATGTAGCATAATGCGTCATGAGCCGACACAACAGGGTCTGGATTGGGACCTGGAAGACCGTCGGTACTGCTGCGACGTTGGCCTATGCATAAATATGTAAGGGACTTCATGTTGGATAGATGGATTGAAAAATTGTCCTATGACAAAGTTAACATAAATCATGGCAAGGGGATAATTAGTCACATTTGGTATGGGATAAATTGCAAAAGAGACATACCCATTGAGTAGCAAAATCTAGATAGAGTCCGAGTTTAGCGAGACTTCTTCCATGGCCTGGAAGCCTATCAAGAATTGTGTATGGAGCTAGCACATCGTACCCTGGAGGCTTTTCTAAAACAGGCGCTAGAAGATTGGGAGTGTTTGGTACATTCGTCACTTCTCTGACTGAGAGCTCGGATAACCGTGGGAGGTCGAGCGTGTTGAACTCTTCTAAGAGAGAGTCATACATGCTGTACAGCTGAGTAATTCCGAGTTTTCGAAGATCGGTGATCCTCCTTGCCTCATCATTCATCCAGGCCCTGAGTGCGCTGTCGAGACGGGTGACCTTAATACTGCGCAAGGGACCCACGTTCTCAAGAAGCCTGTAGTCGATATCACAAAATTGAGCGTCACTGTTGCTGGGGTTCTCTGCGATCAGACCATTGAAAAATCCAAGGTCAATGATGAATGATGTATTGGCCAGGTTCTCTAGATAATTATCGACCCTTTCAGATGCGGACTTGAAAGGAGATAAGTCGGCTGGAAGGACAAGTCGGCTCAGCTGCAAAGGTTTTGCTTCACATATGGTGTGATAATAATCACACAAATGCTCCAGAGCATATTTGCTGTTCCGCCTCAATCTGGTGTTTAAATGATACGGTTCAAACGAACTTCCATAGTATGTAGGTCCAAGTACTAGAACCTTAAGATGGGGACATCTGGACAGCAGTCTTGCAATATCTTCTACTCCAGTTGTTTCGCTGCTGAAATTGTGAAGCTCTAGGAATGACAGATCTTGGAATTGTTGCAACATGATTGTGCTATCTGGAATACCGTTCATGTGAACCTTTTTAAGCTTTGTACATGCCTGCAAAGCCTTTTGAAAACTTTCTTCTGTAAAGGCATGGAACAAAGTATCGTCATTTACATTATCGATTAGTCTGGCAGGATATATTAGTTTTATGACTGGCTAATTCAACATGGAATGGGAACTCTAAAGGAGATACTTAGCATACTTCAGAGTCTGAACACCCACGCCCAGCTTCAAAATTCGCAAAATATAATCTGCAAAGGCTTTCCTGAGCTGTGAAATACTTTCTCCCGATAAGACTGAACTTCCTCATCTTCCGAATCCTCCTCAAAATCAGCTTCATCCCAATCGCGAAACTCACCCTCAATTCTGACTTCCACTTCCTTCGCCAGCGAAATGTTAGACGGTAAAGGAGGCATATCGGGCTTCCTCGGTCCATCAAGTATCAATTCCGAATACCATTGCGCATACAAAATCGGCGTAAATGTATCCCGAAATTCGCGACAAACAAGCACTAGATATGCCAAAGTCTTAACATCGAGGTGTTGCCCCAATACAATGTGTATTTCTCTAGGAAGCGACAAGATCCCCATGGTGTCAGTATTCGCATGGAATGTTTCAGTCATGACTTGAAGGAGCAGAGTATTCAAAGATCGAGATAACAAAAGAAAGGAAAAAAGCTGTTCTTATCTAGCCAGTATACCCAACTGTTGGTCGAAGCTAGCTAATCTATCTTTTTAGGCAACCGCCGCTTAATTGACTGCTGTAGGGAAAGGGGGAGGGGGGCAGGAGGATGCAAGCAGGCATTAAACAAAAGAACCGGATTTCTGCATCTAAAATACCAATCAGGGTTCTTATATCTTCTTCGGATACATATTGATGGCCTTCCCAGTAAATCGATGGTACCCAGAACAGATGCATGTTATCCCTCTTAGTTCCGAAAATCTGAGCACAACTCAAGATGTTGCATTGCTTGAACCATTTCTGGGCCCGGTACAAATCTAATGTAGCAATTGTCAGTCGACGCCATATTTCTTAATCGCCTGACGCTTTGTAAATGCCCTCGGGCGCGCTCGAGACGCGTTAGTTTTTGATTTTGATTTTATTAACGTCCATCTTCAGTCCAAGACTATATAGGACGGCTAGGCCCTAAGGGCCTAACGGGTAACTTTTTAATTTACAATATTAAATATAATCTAATTGGGGAAATGAAAATAAATATTAGGGAACAATACCCGCTCATTATACGCATTGTATATAATAAGAAAATTTTGAAAATCAAGAAATTATAAAAAGATCAAACTCCCCTCTTATTTCCTCAACTACTTCTTCTTTATTCTCTTCTCCTCTTTCTTTTTCTACTATTATTCCTTTCTCTATTACTTTTTATTCAAAAATCCTTACTAGATATTATACCCTTATAGCGATTTTAATGATATTGATAAATTTAATAGCTAATTCGATATCTATCTTTATATGTAATAAGAATTATATAATGATTTTGAATAATAGGATTTTCTTAAAGATTTCTTTCTTTTTGTTTTATATATAGGATAGCTAATAAGGAGGTGTTGTAGTACTTCAATATTGCTATATATACATTTGTTATTAATGAGTTTGAAATGATATAAGTAGGATTTGATATATCCGTAATCTAATTTGAATTAAAAGAATGTGCTAACAGTATTTCGAGTAATTTTGTTTGATAGCTTGATCTTGAAACCTATTTTCTATAAAAATAGCTTTAAGTAAATTGATAAGGATTGATTTGATCTGAGTTTGTATTGATTGAAAATATCAAGCTATTGATCTAAAGCATATTCTTTGATAATTATATTTAATAGTCCAAAGCTTATTTCGTTCGAAATAGATTATATTGTGATTACTTCCTTGGTTAGCTTATCTACTAGTTTATTTCCTTTAATTGAGATATAATTTAGAATCTAATTAATAAGATTTCAGCTCCTTTTGCTCTAATAACTTCTGCTATCTTGATTGTTTTTATCTGATTAACTTGTTTCTAAATGATTTGAAAAAGTTTTTAAGCAGTATAGATTAGCTTGATTATCTAAATAGATTTTGAACTTTTAATTAATAATAAGTAATTGAGCTAGTATATTTGATAGCTTTTATAACTTCAAAAAGCTCTTTATTATATATCAATTGATTAATATTAATATTTACTTTACTCACTCTTAATATAGAATTCGATTATTTGATTATATAACTATTATACCTATTCTAATACTAATTCCCTTTTCGGTAAAGAAGGTATTAATATAAATATAGATAGTATCCTTATCTCTATATTTGAAAACAATATTATAAAGAATAGCAATATCTTCTTTTGATAAATTACTAATATTAATTTAAAAAAGGGTTTCTCTTTTTTATAAAAAAAAATTAAAATAAATAATCTTTTTAAATAAAAAGAGATTGAAGTTCTGATTTGTTGATTCCCTTATTCTATCCAGTTAAATAAATTTATATCGTTTTTTCCAAGGAATAGGAATTATATCCAAATTGACTTAATATTAAATTAGTAATGCTTTTTTAATATTAATTGAATGATTTATTATAAGTTTAACTAAATAGAATATATATTGTTTAATATTCGAATCTAATCGAATTTTTGAGGGTTTTAGGCCTGCTTCTATTTTCATTGGAAGAATTGGGGCAGTTTTTGAAAACTCCTAATATCTTTCGAAGAGCTAGGTTTTGAAGTGATTGCATTATATTCTTGAATTGTGTTTTGGCCTTTTCATCAAATCACTGATCCGTAATCGGTTATATTAGTCACATATGCTATATATAGCTATCTGAGGGCTTTAGAACTAAGGCCCTTTTCGATATTAGCTAATCGGGCTATTCGATGGAATGCTCCTTTGGCTTGTGTGATTCGAATATTAACATGTTGATCGAATTTGAGGCTCGGATCGAACCATATTCCCAACCATCTGATTAGAGATTGGGGTATAATTGTTTCCGAATATTAATATTCTATAAGGTTTTATATATAAAAAGAAAAGGATAGCAATCTTTCTTTGTAATACAATTTAGACCTCGATAATCAACACAAAACCACAGGCCTCCCCCTAGCTTCTTTATAAACAATACAAATGCTGTAATAAATAAATTACTTATTGTATAAACCCCTTATCAAATAGTTTTATAAGAATCTTTTATAGTATTAGAAGTTCATTACAAGATATACTATATAATAATCCCTATAGAACCTTTGATTGCTTTCCGTCCTTACTTTCTAATTCAATAGCATAATCGGTTTCTGGCCTTCAGAATAGTGATAGTTGCTTTGCTTTCTTGTAGTCAAATACCTTGATAAACTTATAATATTGTAAGGGTAATTTAGCTTTTGGATTTGTATACTGCTTGTTTTTCAAGGCTTTATTGATATCTGTTATATTCGCTATAAAGATTTGAATTCTTCCTTTTATTTATAAATATTTATATACCATAACTGAGACTTGTACTACTCTAACTCTACTTATCTGTATATTGAAAAATACTTTCTTATTTTGTATAATCGTTTTTATCTTTTCTACCTCCATTTCTGATCGAGTATTGAGAGGGGTAAAATCCCTTTCAAAACCTATTGTATGGACTACATACAATAGTGGGCGCTATACCCCAGTATTTGTTTTCACCTCCCCCATTATTTCATTCCCATTGTGTATTTCAAAAGTTATCCGCTAGCGCCCTTATGGCCTAGCCGTCTTATATAGTCATGGACTGAAGCGGGACGTTAAATTAAATCAATCAATCAATCAATCAATCAATCTGATCGAGTATTATTGATCCTAACATTCTAAGTCTTGATCTATAGCAGATCTAATATTATATTGTAATATCCTATAAATAGGATATAGAAAAATACTTTTGCTTTTTTATAACCATCTAAATCCAGTATTATAACAATCACCTCACTCACATTTGACGAAATTTTCCCATCAAATTCTATAATCTCTCGTGGCTCAATCTGTAGATATAAGAGATTGTGTTTCTAAGCAAAACAGAAGTTACAAAGTCCATATACAAGACAACCAGTATCGATCAATATATTAGCAAAGAAAATATCATTAACTAATACTAATACAACAAATAACTCCCCATCCATAGAGTTTTTAAAGTAATTCCAAGCTCTCCTCAATTTCCCATTCTCTTTCAAATACCTCTGATTACGACTTCGATTAGAGACTACTCTTTTCCCGACTCATTATCTATCTCCCAGTCTTCCGCTTCCTTAATCATCAATTCCTTATTACTATTTTGAGGAATTCAAATAATAGTTGACTTAGCATTAATTACAAAATACTAGTCAAAAAACTTGTTTGCTTGTCTTTTAGGGTTCTAAACAAGGAGAAATGAGCAGTCCTTGATTATATAACCATTATTGCCACAACAAATACAGCTTCTATCTTTCATACAACAACCAATTTCCTTATAACTTACCCATTTTGCTCTCTTCTAGCTTGATTGGAGTTGTCTTATTGTAGTAACTATAGTTATTTAAATAAACTCCCAATCTATAAAATCTAAGATTGACTTGGTGATTTCTTGAAAGGAATAGAGACTTCTTCATTGATTGTTCTATCCTTTTAGTTATTATAACTTATCAAAGATTATTCTTAATTAGACTATGAAATCGATATATTTTTCTAGTTCCTTTTATACAACCAATTATACATATAGCTCTCAGCTTAGACCTACTTGGAGGTATCCTTTCTTAATATCATCTGCCTATCCCCATCCTTCAGCTTTTAATAGGGCTTGCTCGAACTTTTGGAGGAATATATGGAAGTTTCGATTGTCCTATCGAATTCGATTAATCTTTATAAAAACCTTAGCTTTCTTTTAAGAATCAGTAAACACTTGATTTAATTATCTTAATAGTCCTTCCAATATGAATTCGGCTGTGCCTTTAGCATATTATATCCAGGGATAGATTCTCACAGTAGTATTATCTGATAGCTAGCTAAATCCGTATCATACTTTTTTCATCTTATTGTTAATAGTTTTTATATCGATTTCCAATTTGACTTCTAATAGACTTCTGAAATAGGGATATTGAGTATTGTTCTTATTGCTAAACTTATCTGAATATGAAAATGAATATCAAGGTTTCCTTTATTCAGATTCGAAATCTAAAAAGAATCTACTTCTGATATCTGTTAAGGTAATGGGTTTATACTGATTGCTAGTGATATATACTATAAGTTGTATATATTATATAAACTATTAGGAAGGTTCTATGAGTATTTTGGAGAATGCTTGGGGCTATTGTTAATGCCCTTGAAAGAGTATTCCCTGAGATTCAGATTGTCCTTATTGATCTATACTTATATTGTATTCTATTATAATAATAACTAATTATTAGCTAGATATGATTAATTGATTAACTGATTGATTGATTGATTGACTAACTAACTGACTGACTGACTGACTAACTGATTGACTGATTGATTGATTGATTGACTGACTGACTGATATTATCTTTGATTTATAATGGATGAAAATAATATACTTCTAATATAAAAAGCCAACTCCAAGTAGCTCAAAAGTAGAATTCAAGATTAAATATTAAGAAGTGCATGAAGAGTCTATATAG